CCAGGCTCAGCACCCAAAAACACTTGGGCATGTCGCAGCGTTCAGCCTGTGGTCTGCAGCTACTCCAGGGAACTAAGTCCCCTCCAGTGTTTCAGTTGAAGCTGATGCTGGTGGTGGAAAGCAAAGCAAAGCAAAGCAGCCCTGCCACCACTTCTTCAGAGCCCCAAGAGGACCACAGCTAATATTCTGCTTCCTAGCACACTGCCTTGCCCCAGCCCAACCTTTCCATGGAAGGAGGCCAAATGCTCATTTCAGAACATCTGCAGGCTGCAGAGATATGGCTCCAGTTGATTTCAGAGCAAAGTACCACTCTATGCCCAGGCTCTTGGAGGGACAGGCAGTGGTTGGCAACAAACCCTGTGTTTGGAGGCTTTTTCAGGTGAAATCACTTCTGGCTGAGGATGTCACCAATTCTCAGCCTCTAAAGAGCTGGGGGATTGCCCACCATGTGTTTGCTCTGCTGAACTGCCACCCTGCCCAGTATCAGATACCCCACCATAGAGGCAGTGATGTGGGTATCTCTACCCATACAGATACCCCATCATCACTCCAGCCTAGATAGACATTAAATCCAATCCCACCCCTGATAGTCACCCATGCTCTTAAGGTGCTCCATGTCATTCAGAAACAAGGCAGCACACATGAAATCTGTAACAAACCAGCATCAGCCCAGCAGCAAGCCGAATCAGTGCATGAGGCAGTAAACACCCATACAAGCTAACTATGCTAATCTACACCAAAAATATTTGGTTGCCTTTAGAGTGACCTCAGCACTCTCATTAGGAAAGCTGCACACTCGGGGCCAGATGCTGCTCTGACAGCCACACAGCAAACTGTGTAGGAGATGATGAGTTACCATCAAGCTTGTTGTGCAGGGGTGGCTGCACAATCCTGCCTTTGAGCACGGGAGCAGTTCTTCAGCACAGCCTGCCTGGAGGAGCCCATCTTAGATCCTGGGGTGGGGGTGAGAGGGAAAAGAAAGCTTTTTCTAGGGCAATTTTCTCCAGTCAACCCATTTCTGAGTCACTCATGTATTTACATTTGTGAGAGCAGATCGGAGTATGTACTAAAGGCAATGTTTATCTGCTCCAAGCCATTGCTTTGCTTCTAAGGAACACAGCTTCAAGTGCCCAGAGATGCATCTTCATTTCCTCAGCACACACACTTCAGCCTGCAGTTCCTCTATTAGCGATCTTGGAGAACGACAGTGCTGCTGACATTATAGTCTGGCTGGCTCTATTTTAAAAACATACGATATACATATAGCATTGTCATGGCAACTGCTAATTATGGTAATTGCTGCACATGCTGATTCTAAACATGAGAGGGTACAAGCATCCCATTATACCAAGGTCAACCAGTTACTTTTTTGGGACAACTCCAAGACATAAGGAGCCATGTTTCATCCACGCTAAGCAAAGGAGGAGAACATGGAACAGTGGAACAGCCCCTGTGCATTCATCCCTTCTCACCCCCAGCTCTCTACACCTAAAAGTGGAGCTTAGAGAACACGAACCAGCTCCAGCCAGGATCCTCCCCAGGGACCAGCCTCAGCACTGTCACCACTGCTGGTGCAGCTTCAGGCAATCTATTTCTAATCTCTCTTGGGGAACCATGACTCTCACCACCCTGTCCCATTTCCTTACAGTCTGTGCAAACAAGCCCACCTGCACGCAAGTGAGGACAGGGCACTTCCTCTAATGAAGGGGTAAGAAGACCTCACACACAACCAAGCCACAGACACTAGCAGCAATTAACTGCATTTGGAATTTTCCTTCTGCTGCCTTTTGGAAGAGCTCTGTAGCCTCATCCCCAAGGCTTCAGCACACCAAGGGAGAAGCGGCAGGTGGATGTTTGCTTGGTGCTGCTTTGGGAGCTTTCCAGGCAAGGTGAGAACCAGAAGAAAGAGCACTGAAGTAGAGGAGGCTTCACAAGTCCTGGTCAGGGGGAGCTCTTAAACCACCGTATGGAGACTTCCTTGCAACAGGGCTGAGACTGGGTGAGCACCAAGAGGGAGAACAGAGACAGGCAGGAGACACTGATGTGCTTCAGATCTGAAACATGAGCACAGCACTGCAAGCACCAGCTCAGGAAGCAGCTGCTGGCAGAGGATGGGCAGCCCAGACCATGATCTCAGGGTGCTGAAGCATCACACAACAGATCCACATAGCCAAATTACCTGCAAGGTCTCTGCATCCGGCACTGCCTGCTCCTCCAAGGCAACATCAAAAAACAGCTTATGGATGATGTGTTTTCTGCCGACCTAAACACAGGAGACAGAAGAGGTTGATGGGCACAGATACAGAAACACAACGGATATTGAAGACAGATGGAGGGTGGAAAAGGTACCATCTTGTCACAAGGCCATGAAAGACAAGTCAGATCACGTGCTCAATGCCGTTAGTGACGATGCTCTGCTTTGGCTCATCAGAAGAGCAGCAGACCCCCCCCCCACTCAGTTTTGTGAGCGCGACTCCAGCCAAGCTCCTGAGCTGCAGCAGAAAGATTCAGGCATTTCTGAATCAAGCGCAGTCTGTTCTCTGGCAGCTAAGGCCCAAGCAGCTGACGCTGAGCTAACATGATGCCAAATCCTAAGACAGAAGTACGTGATGCTTTCTGCAGGCAGAAGGTGCTGTAATTGAATTTGATAGCTCTCCACACCTCCCCCATGCAGTTACAGCTTTGTGTTTTAAGTATTATATACAGTCATGACACCAGCTAATTGCATGGTTACTGCTACATGAGATGTTATTTCGCGATAACTCCATGGTAACCCAGAGATGTAAGAGGCAGTGAAGAACAGAGGGAATCAACAAGTCAGGGAAGGAACAAGGGCCAAGACCTTGAGAGAAAAAAAGAAGCACGAACACAGAACAATCCCGAGCTGCAGCTGCCTGAAAACCCACATCTGAGTGTGCGTCAACATCTCCTGCAGCCGCTACACACCAAGACCTACTGGCAGCATCAAGGCTGGTGACACAAAGGACTTCAGAGAAGTTCAGGTCCCAATTAAGCCACTGGATTCCCAAGCCTTGGCTTCCCGTCCCAGAAGCACATCCTTCCTTCACATCCCTCCTTCCCTCTCCAGCTTTTGCTATGCTCAATAAAGAGCCAAGTGCTGCAAAGCACCTCAATTACAAGGACCACATGCAGCAGAAGGGGCTGCTTACCTGATGGCAAGGGGTAGGGTACTCCAGAAACACAAGTCGGATTAACCTGGCCTGATTAACCCCTTCCAGCCCTTTCCATCATTATGACAATGCTTAGCCTAAATAAAAGCCATGAAAACCTAGAGACCCTTTCTGGAAAAGCTACAACAGGAACAGCAGCAGGGCACCCCCAGACCACCCCTCTGATTGGAATGTCTGCTGAAGGGAGATCGCTCTCTGACCCTTTGAGGAGAGCCTGAAGTGACAGAAAACTGTGTTTCATACCCTAAGCCTCTTCCTCACACCACCCCAGGCCTAGGCCACAGCTCCTTGAGGGCATCTGCAGAGAGTTGTGCCATAGAGAGGTGTACGCAGGGGATGGTTTTACCTGGATTCTGCACTGCGGGCAGGTCCGGCTAGGTGCTGTGTCAAACCACTGGATCAGACTGAGAAAGGAAAAGAAACACGTGGTCAATCCTTAAACCCTAGGAGCACTGCTCCCAGAGCCCCCTGGCTCACCAGAAGACAGCAGGATGCACCTCCTTTTCACAGCTAAAACCAGAAAAAGCATTTAGTCCAGAGGTGCAGCTAACAGGAACACTGTGCTGCAGCACAGGCACCCTTCCTTCACCCCCGAGACAATTCCCAGCTGAATTTAGCACGTGAGCTTATCTTTACCAGGGCAGAGCCTTCACAGAGCTCAAATCTCCCTGAGAAAGAGCCTCTGAATAACCAGAGCTTTGCAGGAGCACTCAGATCGCCATAAAGAACAGCGCAGGAGCTGCCGTATCAGGATACAACAGCTGAGATCCCCAGCAGGGTCAGCTCCAAAGGGTGCTGCTGACACCAAACACACATCTGTGGAGGGAGGGAGCCTGGGCCGCTGCGCCCCGCGATGATGAACACCGACCTGCCGGGCTCCCCGGGAGAGCTGCGAGCGCATTCTGCAACCAAGGCATCACGTCACGCTCAGAAGGGTTTATTTTTGGAGCACCGCAACAACCTGGAGCTGGCAGGTTTCCTTTGGAAGCTCTCCCTCCTCCGCCGGCCGTTCGAGGAGCGCAAGCCCGAGCTGTGCCCCTGGTCAAGAGGCGGCCGGCCCCGGGAAGCAAACAGCCGCTCCCTCCCCGCACACAGCGTTTATTTCCGCCCGAGAACCGCTTCTTCCGACACCAGCACTTCCAGAACACCCGCAGCGGGAGCACGGCACCGGCCCCTCCGCACACACACCCTGCGCGGAGCAACCTGTCGGCTCCGCAGTGGGGAGGCCGCGGGCTGACGGCACCGCCGGGTGCCGCTGCGAAGCGAAACGGCGCATCAGAGCGACGGCAACCGGAGCGAGAACGGGAGCCGGCGGTACCGGTACCGCGGCGGGACCGGAAAACACAACGCCCACATCCCCCTCGCAGGCCCGCGCTCACCAGACGTAGTGGAACGTGTGGCCGCAGGGCACGGCCGCCACGTCGCGCTCGTTGTCGAAGAAGTCGGAGCAGATGGTGCAGTGTGCGCGGATGGGCATGGCGGGGCCGGGCGGGCGGCCCCAGCGGGACACGAACCCGCGACCGCGGCAGCCGCGCGGTACCCCGCCGTTCAAATACGGCCGCGCACCCGCCGCTTCCGGCCCGGGGCGGATGTGACCTCAAGGGGAGAGAGGAGAAGCCGGGGGGGCGGAGCCTCAGGGGGGGCGTGTCCTGCGGGCCGCGCCCCCGGGTCTCTACGCCCGCCGCTCCCCCGGGTCTCTCCGCTCGTGTACGCTGAAGCCTAACGGGGGGGGCACCCCGCGGCCGTTACTTATCCCGTCCAGTTGCCGGCACCCCGCGCCCCACAGAGAGACGGTGCAGGCGGCGCTGGTGCTGTCTCAGTTTGTCCTCAGCGGGGTCTTTATTTGCCAGATACAGCCTGGGGTGGGGGGGGAGAAGGAGGGGCGCGGCGGCAGCCGCAGGCAGAGCCGGCCCTGCAGGCATGCAGCTGCGAGGGAGGGAAGCGGCGACCGGGAGAGGGGGGGGAGCCGGGGGGGGGAAACATTTGGGATCCTCCAGGCACGACGCGGGGGGGGGGTGGGGAATGGCTCCCGGTGCTCCTTCGCCCCTGCAACGCGCCCCCCGGGTTGGAGCGGGGGTACCGGGTGCTCTGCCCGCCGGGCCCCCCCCGCGGCCCCGCACATGCATGTGTGTTTGGGGGGCTCCGCGCGAAGCTCCCCACCCCAGCCCTGCGGGGCGTGCGGCCGGGGGGGGCTGCCCCGTATCTCTGCTGGACATCCCCGGGGCGGGATGGGGGGGGACGAGACACGGCGGCGGGGGACAGACTGAGAGAGCGGGACGGGGCAGGGACGGACAGACCGACCGGCAAAGCCGCCGGGGGGGCGGGTCGGACGGGCTCCATGCAGGGCTCTGCCCCGCGGCCGGCTCTCCGTCGGGGCACGTAGAAAAGGGGGCGCAGGCGGGGGCGCGGGGGCCATGCCGGGGCTATGTACAAAGGGGGGTGCCGGGGCCGCCGCCGCTCAGCCGGTCTGCTCGCTGGGGGGCTCGGCGGCGGCGGCGGCGGCGGCAGCCCCTTCCCCGTTACACGTGGTGGGCTCGGCGGGCGGCGTGCCGGGGGCCTCGGGCTGCGCGGCGGCGGGCGGCGGGCTGGGAGCTGCGGAGGCCGCATTGTCCTTGGCAGCGGCGGCGGCGCGGGCAAGGAGCGAGGCTGGACCCGCGGCCCGGGCCGGAGCCGAAGCCGAGGCCGAAGCCGAGGCCGGGCCCGTCTCCGCCTGCTCGGGCGCCCGCAGGCGTTTCATGAGCGTGGTCACTCGCACCGCTTTCTGCGTGGGGAGAGGCAAGGAGCCGTCGGGCACGGGTGCTCCGCTGCCCCCGGGCCCCTCACGGCGGAGTCGGGTTCCCCACCGCAGATGCCTGCTGGAGGCTGCGGGATTCGCTGGGGCTGGGAACCCCCGAGGCTGACAGCCCCGTGCCGGGGGACTGGGGTCGGCCGGGAGGGAAAACTGAGGCACGGGGCACCCCCACTCACCTTCCACTTGGCCCGGGCGAAGTTCTTCTCGATCTGGGCACAGACGCCGTCCTTGATGTTCTTGTCAGAGGCGGCGTTGCCGGAGATCCTGGGGAGGTGAGGAGGGGTGAGCGGCCCCCACCAGCCCCCCCCCAGTGCCCCGCCTGCCCCCTCCGCCCCTCACCACTCATGGGAGATGGCCTCCTCCGCCGTGATCCGCTGGTCCTGCTCCACCTCCATTAGGCGGGTCACCAGCTCCTTGGCTGAGGGTACAGCGTGAGGAAGTCAGTGCCTGGGGGGAACACTGAGGCACCCCATGTGTTCCCCCCACACCGTGGGGCTCACCCGCCTGCGAGATGTCGTCCCAGTATGGAGGGTCAAACTCATAGTCCCCGGCCAGGATTTTGCGGAAGAGGTTCTTGTCGTGGTTCTCGTAGTCTTCCTCCTCCGTCTCCTCATAGAAGGGGGGGTTCCCCGAAAGGCTGGGGGGCAGCATTGGGGGACTCAGCCCCAGTCATGGCCCACAGCCCCCCACAGCCACCCCATCCCTCACCCTGCACTCACAGGATGTACATGATGACACCGATAGCCCAGCAGTCCACCGGCCGCCCGTACCGCTGCCGCCCCACCACCTCCGGAGCTGTGAGGGACAAGAGAGTGGCCCTGCCCTGGGGTCCCCAACCCCCTGCTGCCTCGTCCCCAAGGCGATGGGGAGCAGAGGGACCCACCAGGAGCACCCAGGATTAACCCCTGGGGTGATGGGGAGAGAATGGGACCCACTGTGAGCACCCAGAATCAACCCCTGGTGTGACAGGGAGCGAGAGGGACCCACTGGAAGCACCCAGGATCAGCCCCTGGGGTGATGGGGAGGAGAGGGACACACCAGGCGCTCCCAGGATCAGCCCACGGGTGATGAGCAACAGAGGGAATCCACTAGGAGCACCCATGACCATTGGAAGGGACCTAATGGGAGCCCCCAGGACTGGTCCCCAGGGTAGCAAGGAGAAGCAGGGATTTGCTGGGACCCCAGCTGTGCTGCCTGTCCACCCGGCTCTCACCCACCCAAGTACTCGGGGGTGCCACAGGGCTCCTTGATGAGCCCGTTCTCCAGCTTGGCCAGGTGGAAGTCACTGATGACGATCTTGGAGTTCTTCAGGCGGTTATAGTACACCAGGTTCTCCAGCTGCCGGAGCAGGGGCTGTGAGTGCCGGGCTTGGGGGCATGCCAGCACCCATGGGTGCTCCCACCCCACCACCACCGACCTTGAGGTTCCTGTGGACAATCTTGAGTGAGTGCAGGTAGGCAACAGCCTCCAGCACCTGCCGGATGACGTTGCTGGTGTCCTTCTCCGAGTAGTAGCCCTGGTCCAGGATCCAGTCAAAGACCTCCCGGCCGGTGGCCCTGCCAACAGCAGCTCTTCCAAAACCCACCCCCTGGGGCAGCCCCAGCCAGCCCCCTGCACCCCTAACACTTACAGCTCCAGGAAGATGAAATACTCCTTGCGGGTGATGTAGACGTCCACCAGCTGCAGGATGTTGGGGTGCTTCACCCTATGGAGAAATAGGGGCATGGGTGGGGGTCCCTGCTTTGCTCCGCGGCATGGGAGCCAACCCCAGTCCCAGCACTCACATTTTGAGGATGATGATTTCGTTTTTGGCTGCCTTCCGCACTTTCCGCCCGTCCCGCTTCAGAAACTTCTTGCAGGTGTACAGCTTCCCCGTTGACTTCTCCTTGGCCCGGAAGATCTCACAGAACTCTTCCCTGTAAGAGCACCCACAGCATCACCCTCCTGGGGAGCTTGAGGTGTTCAGGTGGTCCCCAGCACCACCAGCACCACCCCATCCCACCGGCAAGGGGAGATGCTGCAGGAGTGGAAGGAAGCTGCGGCTAAAATCCTCTCCATAGCATGGAGGAAAGAGGGCAGTGAAAAGGAACTGATAGGGAATAATCAAACTTATAGGGAAGGGGGAATTTTGCTGATTAAAAGGCCCCCTCCCCATGACAGCCAGGGCAGGACCTGCTGCGTGTGCCGCGGAGGAACAGCAGCACACCCCAGCATTAATGTCAGTGCTGCAGTCAGGAAGAGAAAAGGGGAGACGCACTGGTGCAGGGGGATGCTGCAATAGTTCTGTTCTATTATTAATGGTGCTCCAGCCCATCAGCCAAGCCAGAGCTGCAGGAAGCCCCCGGGATGGGGGCGGGGGGGACGGACCTCAGCACCGCTCCAACAAAGCCTTTGGCTTTCCAGCTACCTTGGCTGTGCCAAAACCCTTGTGGCATCTGCCCTAGGTGCATGGAAGCTGAGACCCATGGGCTTTGGGACAGGCTGCCCAAAGGATGGAGCAGAGCTCTGCCAGCACCCAACAAGATGCCCAGTGTAACCCTGCCAGGTGTGACCCACAGCCATGTGGTCCCAGTGTTTTGGAGGCCAATGGGAAAAATGTTGGTGCATATTTTGGGGTCAAACCGCTCTCATTGAGTCTGAAGGTTCCAGGTTTTGGAGCGCTTTCTAGAGGGTCCCCCAGCACGGCAATAAATGTTGGGGAGAAGCAGAAGCGCTCCGCTCGCGCCCCCAGATGCACTTTCTTTTGCTGGAGCAGAGCCCTCCTGCTTCCTGGAGTGCTCGGGGGAGCCAGGATCATGCAGGATTCCTGCAATCCCTGCAAATGTTGGGGGGAGGGATATGGGGAGCCACCCAGCTGCAGCTGGCAGCAGCTGCCTTCCTCAGAGGTGGTGGTGAGTGCCCACCAGCGAGAGGGACAAAGGAGGGGACAGCCACCCCCAAAATGCACCCTGCCCATCCCAGCTGGGGAGCAGCACCCTGAAAGCCCCCCCCCGCTAAGCTCGGGACATGCAGGGGGTTGGGGTCCCCTAGGCACCGTGGGTCCGGGAAGGGACCAACTCACGTTTTGATGACTTGGCCCAGGTCATATCTGTCGGTCACCTCGGACGGCTGGTTATAATCTTTCTTGTCTCCCAGCGTCACGCAGCCAAACGGCATCGCAGGGCCCGGTGCTGGCAGGGCAGGGAGAGGCTTTGAGCACCCAGCACCACCAGCCCCTGTAGCTGTACTAATTAATGTGAAGCCTAACGAAGCGCAGCGGCTGCTGGTGCTTCCTGGCCGCCGCTGGCCACCACATGCCCAGCCTCACCAATGCATGTTCAGCCCTGTGGCATCCAGCTGCTCTGCTGGGGCTCGGGCTGCCGGTGGCCAGCCCTTCTGGCCCCTGTTTGCAGAACGGTAATGATTTAAGTAGCCAGGGCTAGCGCAGAGCTCGGAGCACACGCTGGGGAGGCAGCAGAGGAGAACAGACCCTTTCTCATTTCTCAGCCCAGTTGTGCCCCACGTTGACATTTCTTCTTCCGCCAGCAGAGCATCGCCACACAACATCACATGTGCAATGAGTTACACCAGCCTCAACTCCCTGTCCCCTAATAGCTGCAGTGGCCCAACCGCAGCACCCCGGTTTGGCAGCAGGCAGAACACCAGCCATGAAACACACTGGCTCCTCCAGCCCTTTAGGAAGGACATTTTGCCCCTTGCTTTCCTACTAGGAACCCTTCAAAGCCAGACCCTGCTAAGACGCATTCCAGCAAAAAATGGGCCCCATAAAGTAATTTTTTCCCCTTTCCCATCCCGTTACTGGGAGGAAATCTCAGCAGATGTTCTTTTCTGATGGCTCAGAAGGAGACAGGGCTACCTAGCTCCACTAGCCCTCTTGGAAGGGCCTGAGTGGGGCCCTGCAATGGGATGCTGGCACAACGCTGAGGGCACACATTGCCCGATCCTGAAGTTCCTGAACCACCACACTGTGCTGTGCCGGCCTCATCATGTAGTGCCATGGCAGCAACGCCTGGGCCCTGGCGGGCCACGGGCAGGATGGCAGTGCGGGATGCGGAGTCGGCATCACGGGTACCCAAGCGCCGAGCCTGTTGCTATGGCAATGGGAGCTGGAGATGCAGAAAGCGGCACATCCTTGGGAGGAGGGGGCAGGGACGGGCAGCACCCAGCAGCACTCGACCCACCTGCGGGTGCACGGCACCGTTCCTGCCACGCAGGCCCCAGGAGGAAGGTGATCCTGCCTGCAGCACCCAGGACATGCACCTGAGCACTCCCTAGGGTGACTGACCCCAAACCTGGGTGGGATGTGGGTGCAGTGAGCCAGAGAATGGGGGCATGCTCCTTCCTGCTTCCACCCCTTGGGGCTGACTTGCCTCTGTGTCTGCCTGAGCAATGCTTGCAGGATGGGTGCTCCCACATTACCCGACACCCAGGCACCCTCCTGCTGAAAAGCCCATGTTGTGCAAAAGCACCCATCCCTGTCCCGCTAAGGGTGCACTCAGTCCCAAAAGAGAAGCAGAGCACCCATGGGACACCCTTACCCATGGCACAGACCAGCTGAGGCTTTCCAGCCCACGCTCATCACATCCAACAGCCTTCCCAGCAAATATGCCCTGCCTGGCACCTCCGTGACCCTGTGCTGCATGACACCAGCTCTGCCGTGCCACCATGCCCAGCAGAGGAGCACAAGGGCTGTCCCGGCAGCTGCTGGCGTGGTGGCAGGCTCGGTGCTGGCAGGGGTAAGGCTGTCCTGCGGGCAGGCTGCCAGCGCCAATGGCGTGATGCCAGGATTAGCCAGGAAGGGGACCCGCGCGGGATGATATATCAGGATTTTATTGCTGTCTCTGCGAGTGATCAGCTAATCTGCGCTCATAAAATTAGTTCCCGTTCATTTAGCAGGGACCCATCCTGCTGGGGCTGAGCACCGGCACCCTTGCTGGTCCCAGGCTGGCTTGAGGGGTGGCTCACTGTACACCGGGTACCCCACAAGGGAGGCTGGCACCCAGCCCTACATCAGGGCCAACACCTGCGCCCCACAGGTGAGAGTACCCCCACTATGGCAGGGGCACCCAGGCAAGCAGTGGGTGAAAGGGGAGTGCTCCCTCCCCGGGGTGCTGGGGGGGGGGGGGGGGAGGTTGGGTGCTGCACCGGCACCCGCGCACATCCCCCCCCGCTGAAGCATCTAATTTGGGAGCAAGAAGCAACAGCGGGTGTAAGACAATAGCGGGGAAGTGGGTGGCTGGGTGCGGACGGCACGAAGAGATGACGCAGCCCCACAGCCCTCACCAGCGGGGTCCCCCAGCCCCCCGAACCCCGGATCTGCCCCACGGCGCGGGTACCCCCGGCCGGGCTCCTGCCCCGGCCCCGCTTCCACCTGCAGCTGCCCTGGACGAGTCTGTGTCGGGGGTCCCCGCTGTCACCCCCCATTCCTCCCAACATCTGTGGTAAAGGATGTACCGCGGAGAGCGAGAAACCGCAGCCGGGCCGAGACGGACCGAAGTGTTGCTGGCGCAGGGGGGAGCCGGGCAACGGCAGGCGGAGGGGCTGCGCCAGCCTCCCGCTGGCCGCAGGAGCACCCGGGCTGGCGGGGGGAGCCCCGGGATAGTGCGGAGGGGCGGCCCGGGCCGCGCACCCCGAGCGAAGTCTCGGCAGGGGCCGGCTCGGAGTGATGCGGCAGCGGGAAGGGAGCGGGCTGCAGGGAGAGGAGCATGGACCCAGAAGGGAACGCCCGGCGGCGGGAGAGCGGGGCGAGGGTCTCCAGCATCACTGCCCCGTCACGGGGCTCTCCGGGCTCCGCGCAGAAGCGGCACGGGGGCGGCGAGCGGGGAGGCGCGGGGGGGGAGCCGGGCTTCGGGGCCCCCGTCGGGGCTCGGGGTCTGCCGTACGCGGGATGCCGGCAGGGACGGGGCAGCAGCGGGCGGCCGTCGGAGCGCGCACGGAGCCGAGCACGGACCGGCCGCGATGTCCCGGGCCACCGCGGATGGGGGGGGGGGGGGGTGCGTGGGGGACAGCCCCGAGCCCACAAGTGCCAAGTCCCATCAACGCCCCCACCCCGGTCCTGGCTCCCCCCCCCTCCGCCCGCGGCACGGCACGGACCGGACCGGCTCTGCTCGGCTCTGTCCCGGCGCGGCGGCGCTCTCACCTGCACGCCTCTTCGACCGCAAAGGGGGGCCGCGGCCCGGGGCCGCCGCTCGGGGGGGCCGCACGCCCCTCCCTCGCTCCCTCCGCGCGGGGCCGGTGCGGAGCCGAGCCGAGTCGAGCCGAGCCGTCGGTCCGTCGCGGCGCGGCCCCGCGCGCCCGGCGCGGCAAGTTGGGGGGGCGGGACCTCGGGGGCCCGCCCCCCGCAGAGAGCCCCGCCCCGCCCCTGACGTCACTGCCAAACTTCGCGCCCCGCCCGAGCGGCACCGCGGGAACGGTCACGCGTGGTGATGGGGCGAGTCCCGCAGCGCGGCGGGACGGGGCGGCCGCGGCTCCGGAGCTGCCCCGCAACGCGGGCAGGGCGTAAACACGGTCAGGAGCACCCCGCGGGACCCCCACCAGCACCCACGTGTGGGGTGCGCCAAGACCCGCGAGCCCCCGTGGGGTGCTCAGGTCCTGCTGCTGCCCAGCCGGGTGAGACAGAGCTGTCTGCGATGTCCCCCAAGCCCATGGTACAATCCCCATCCTTTCTGTTCGGCCCAGGAGGTGCTCACCCAAAGGGACACCGAGCCTGCAGGCTCCTGGTGCAGCTCTGGTGTCACGGTGGGCTTCACTGAGGTCGTGGGGACTGAAGTGAGATGCAAAGCACTGGGATGCACCAGGGTCCCCTGGGCTGGGCCGTGGCCGCCTGCCCTGGATGGGATGGTGCAGGATAGGATGGGGTGGGTGGGATGGAACAGGACAGATGAGAGATGGGATGGATGGTGTAGGATGGGATGGGATGTATGGGAAGAATGGGGTAGGATAAGGTGGATTGGCATGTTGTGGGATGGATGGGATGGAATAGGATGGGGGGATGGAGTGGGGTGGGATGAAACAGGCTGGATAAGATGGGACAGGAGCAGGTTATTAGCAGAGCTGAGTGTGGGCTCAGCGTCACATATACCGTGAAGACACACGCAGACACATGGTCCCACTTCTGTGCCATGATCCTACAGGAACCAGGCAACTTCCTTTGTCCTCCTTCCACAGTTGTGCGTCCCCACTCTCTCCCCCATGGACAGGGATTATCCATTCCCCACAGCCCAGGCCAAGGGGAAGAAAGGGGCAAGAAATCAGCCACCCTAATACTGTTAACTCTGCCCACCTCCTGGACATGGCAGCCAGCCCAGGGTGGACAGCACAGCCCTGGGGTGCAGCAGGGCCCGCCACCCCTTCCCCCAGTTCCCAGAGCACCTCGCTCCTCATGCAATGCAGCTGCGTGCGTGGAGCCTCCCGCATGGCATCATGCTGCACACTGGCGTTTGTGGCCCATATGGTGCCGCTTCTGAGCTGCACCCGCACTCGCCTCCCCTTCTGCCCTGCACCCACCAAACCCCAGCTCCCCAAAACTGCCTGGTCCTGAGCTGTCACAGGGCCACATCCTCTCCCCAGCCCCACAAGCTTGCATCAGGCAGACCCATGGGCAGGAGACACCAGGATCCCATCCCTAAAGCTGGCATCTCCCCTCTGCTCACAGGGAGACCAGCCAGCACCCCAAGGCAGATGCAACACAGGGTACCCCCTGCATCTGACCCACCGCAAGACCCAGGCCCATCGTCACCCGCACTGGGTAATTAACGGCGCGTGAGAGCTGGGGAATTAGCAGGGCGCTGTAGTTTGAGCTTCTAATCAAGAGTTTAATCATAGCGGCTGGCAGCAGTGCAGCGCAGTTATTAATCTCTGCACCTTGCAGGAACCTGGAGTGTAACTCACAATTACCCAGCAGGCGCCCGGCACGGCTCAGCACTGCCCGGCAGCGGCTCGCAACACAAGGGGTGGGATGGGCTCCTCCATCCCTTGTGACTCCTCCACCCCTCGTGGCCACTCTGTCCCCTGTAGTGCCTCCAGCCCCTTCAGCCTACCTTGTGCCCAGTACCTCCTGGCACCAGCCTCCTGCCATGGCAGAACTGCCCCAGGGTTCCATCACTGCCCTCTGGTTCCCTCCTGGCCCCAGCTCTGGTTCAGATCTCGCATCACCCCGTGCCCCATTTTGGGATGATCAGCTCTGCTGAACCCACCAGCATTTGTCCCTGCTGTGCCCTGACCCGCTGACCTGCTCACCCACTGCCCCATGCACTCATCACCACATACACCCAGTGCTCCATGCACCCAGTCCTCCACGCACCCACCACCCTTCCCACTGGCCCATGGTGAGCCCAGAGCTGGGTTCAGGGTGACTTGACTGGTCTGGAGTGACATTTCCTGTAGGCCTTCAGGCACGAGAGGCTGCCAAGGTGGATCTGCCAAGGCTGGGGACCCTTTGCTCGGGTGGGGGGCACACAGGATGGGGGACACCTGGCTGTACCTCTCTGCCCCAGACAGTGTTGGAGGGGGTCCAGGGCCAGCCTGGCCTGGCAGCCCCATGCCGGGGGGCTGCTGCTGGGGTGCAGTGGGGTGCAGCGGGGTGCAGCGGGGGGCCGTGCAGCATGGCCGTGACTCAAGCGCCACGCGGCACCACATCCCTGCGTGCTCGCCATCGCCATGGCAACCGTCAGGCAATCAGCGGTAATTGCGTGTGTCGGCCTGGCAACGGGGCCAAATAAACCCCATCCCTCCTTTCGGGGGGCTGGTAGAGGGGGGGAGGGAGAAAATAAAGGGGTGCAGCCGCCAGTTGCCACTCGTGGGCCTTTATTGGGGTCAGCAGCAGTGGGAGCGCACGATGGCGGGGCCGCCCTCTGCATAGACGTCCCGCGGCACCCATGCTCCCTGGAAGGCATCGAGGGCAGCGGCCAGTGACCCTCCCAGCCAGGCAGCTGCATGGCGGTGTGGGGCGGCCTCGGCAGGGACCCCCAGCTCTGCTGACAGGCGCTGGGGGAGGCCATGCAGCAGCGTGGTGCCCCCTGCCAGCAGCAGGCAGGGTGGGGGGCTGCCGGTGGGGCTCCCACAGCGGTGCAGGCTATGGGACGCCTGCTCCAGCAGCCCTGGCCCCGGCAGCCCCAGGGCCGTGGGGGCCACCAGCATCTCGGGGCACTGGAACCGCTCCTCCTCTTGGAGCAGCCCCGAGGTGCTGGGGGGGGTGACGGGCTGGGGCCTCCCGGCACACGGCAGGATGCAGCAGCAGGTCTCCTTCAGGTGGCACAGGGGTAAGTGTCGAGGTGGACCCCGCGGGACTCCAGCAGCTGGCCCAGGTAGAGGGTGAGGGCATCCCCAGCCACGTCCAGGGGGAAGGTGGCGTGTGGCAGCGCGTAGCCTTCCCGCACCCCTGCCGCGCATGAGGTACCGGCGCCGGAGCCCGCCACCACACCGGTGGTGCGGCCATAGGAGTATGCGGCGAGCAGGGAGCGGGGCAGCACCAGCATGGCCGGCACCCCGAAGCCCTCGAAGAGCAGCTCGGCCATCTTCTCCCGGTTGGCGATGGGGGAAAGCGGGGCGTCCGTGGCCAGCACGGCCACCTCCTCGGGGCAGACACACAGCTCCTGGTAGAGGATGCAGTGCCACAGCTCCTCCAGCCCGTCCCAGTCAGTGACCACACCGTGGGTGAGGACGGGGCTGCCGCCAGCCTGGCTGGGCACCACCGACCGCAGCTGCTCATCCCCATTCAGCCGGCTCCTTGTGAGGCCTGTCCCCGTGTCAATGACAACAGCGCTCAAAGCCTTGTACCTGTCCATTGGCTTGGCCCCCATCACATCCAGTGCTTGCGCTGCTACCTGGAGCTCTGCCTTGGGGGGGGGGAGAGCTCAGTTGCTGTAGCAACTGCCTGCATCACTGTGATGACATCACCCATGGCATCAGGCTTTGGTTCCCCTTCCCATCGGAAGACCTCTGGGGGTCCCTGAGTCTCACTGGGGCAGTACCTGTGGTTGTACGGACCAGGGCACAGAGAGGCTGCTCAGGGCAAGGAGTTTCATGTGGGGCTCCTTGCTGGGAGAGAACTGATCTTGAGGCAGAAGACTGGGACCAGCACTGGCACAGGTCCTGATCGGGTGCTGAGATGGGGTGAGCCTCCTTGGCTGAGGGTGGGCGCTCTCTCAGGGACAGGAAAAGGAGAAAAGATGTGTCTTATATGCTGTAAGGCTTCAGAGTGAAGAACAGATCCCTGGAGCCCACCAGAGCTGCTTGGGGACCATTAGAGCATTCTGGAGTCCATCAGAGATCCCCAAGGGCTACCAAAGCTCCCCAAAGACCACTGAAGCTCCTCAGAGACCATCAGAGATGCCCCAGGTCCATCAGAGCTCCCTGGGGGCCAGCAGAGCCCCAGATGGCTGCAGGGGTGCCAGCACGAGCATGGGAGGGCAGAGGTACAGGGCTGGCAGCAGGACCGGGGTGCCAGGGTGCGGGGCCGGGGTGCAGTCAGCCCCCCCCGCAGCTCACAGCCATCATTAGCAAGACCTGCTGGTTTCTATAAACGTCTCGGCGGAGCCGCGGCAGCCGCTCTTCACGCCCGCTCCCCAGCGCCGGCAGCGCTAAAAACAGCTCGGCGCTGCCTGCTGCCTCCTGCCACCTCTCGCCGGCCCGGCTGACGCCGCGACCACCGCTTCGCTCCGACGCTGCTTTGACACCGTTTTGGCCGTCCTCCACTCCAGCCCCCGTCCCTGGGTGCGGTGGAGGTGAAGGGGGGACAGGAATGGGTGCACCCATTGCCTGCACCCAGTCTTTGCACCCGCTTTGCCACGAGGGGCTCAGAACCGAGGTGCGCGAGGTGCCATTGCGGCAGCACGGGCAAACGCCATTGCAGCACATCCCCAGGCGCTGCTGGCAGCGGGTCTGTGCCCGGCTCTGCCCGTGTGCCCGCAGCCTCTCATGCTTTATAGATGGCTCCGATTTTAATAATTAATCCCTGCTAACGACAGCACTTTCCCCAAATAAAACATTTAAAGTGCTGTGTGTGCAAGGCGTGCTGCCGGGGTGGGACGCCGGCTGCTCTGCTGCAGCCGTGGCGGGTGGGCATGCTGTGACGTGGCGCTGCACAGCGTGGCATGCCATGGCCACACATGCCCACCGCTCAACGGGGTGCTCTACCAACCATGCCCAGCCATGCAGCACCTCAGGGTGCCACTTGAGTGCCCACCCAAGCCCAGGCAGCACCTCTGAGACACCTCCAAGATGCAGCATGGGTGCTAGGTGCCATGTGAGATGCCACCCTGTGATGGCCCCTGACTGTCCCCTGTGCTGTAGCGGTGTGTGCAGCACCAGCACCGGTCCTGGCTGGCAGCAGGGAGGGGCCGGCAGGGACAGACAGAGGTAGACATATGCCAGCCCATGGCTTTGAAGGCCTGGTGCTCACTCCTCACTTCCCACAGCATAATTAGGGCAGGATAAATGCATATTAGCATGAAATCTGTCATCTCTGCTAGCACATTTAAGGGGGGACACACATGACAGCCTGAGGCGGGCGCCCTCCTCAAAGCACATCACCATCACCACCATGCAAGCCTTGTCAGCTAACAAGCAGCTGGCTGCACTGCCCCACCGCAGGCACTGACAGCTCTGTCACACTGTGAGTCCCTGGGGCTGCCCCACCGTGCCATAAGACGGTGGGACAGGCACCCGTCTGCCAACCAAACACAGCCACCCTGCCCCATGCTGAGGAGGGTAACACCGAGGTGCCTATCCATGCGTCCGTCCGTCCATCCATCCATCCATCCATCCATCCATCCATCCATCCATCCATCCCTGCATTTCATCTGGCATCTAGCATCCCCCAGCACCTCCGGGCTTTGATTCAGCCCGTTTCAGCCATGCGGTGCTGGGCCCTTTCCGTTGCTACAGCAACTCAGCAGCGCAGCCGAAATGGTGCTGCTTGGCCTTGAGTGAGCACCCACACTAGGTCAGGAGAGCAGCACGGCCCCACTGCAGGGAAACTGAGGCACTGTCCCAGAACTGTGGGATGCCGGGATCCAGCCTCGCTAAATATATCCCTGCGGGAGCGGCGACAAAGCTGTGCAGGTGTGAGACACCGGCGGAGACGGACAGCTTGGCTGATAGGAGCTGACGCGGCCCCGGGCTCCGGCTCCGCTTAATGAGCAGCTGAGGAAGGTTTATTTAAAGCCAGGGCCGGCTGCAGGACCCCCACAGCTGGACACGGACTGGGAAGCAGAGCTGCCCGTGGCCATGGGGCTGGGGCATGTTTCAGCATCCCCTGCACATCCACCCATCCCCACCCCTGCCCTCACCCCCTGCCCCGAGCACTGGATGTGAGCTCAGGGGAGTGATGCCCATCACCGATGGCTTCCTCTTTTCCAGGGTCTCATTCTAGGGGATTCTTGCCCCAGACTTGGGGTGGGGAGGATCTCCTTGTCAGTGAGCTCCTCGCAGATGGGAGCTCTGCCATCAGTGCCAGCAAAAGGAGCAAAGTCCGGTGGTGGGATCAGTGGGGGCTCAGCTGCTCTCCCTGCTCCTGGGCAGTGCCTGGTGCGGGCTGCACCATCCCCTGCACAGGCAGCAGCTGGAGCAATTAGGGTGTAATTACGTGAGACTGGCAATGACACTCGGTCACCAAGCAGGAACCCCCAAGCCTGATCCAGCGTGCCCCACCACGACCCTGTGCAGACAGGCAGGGTGAGTAACTCTCTGGTACTGGGTACCACTCTGGGCTGGACACCACTACATCTGCCACCATGGCAGCATGTCCTGGGCACTATGGCACCTCTATGCCATGGATGCTGTAATCCTGTACCCTCAGCTCTGTGACACCAGCAGCACAGCGATCCCACAGCCAGGCACCTGTTGTCCCAAGGACACCCTCATCCCATGCTCAGGCACCCATCATGCTGTGATTCCATGGTCACCATGACCCACACCTTGGGCAGTGGGATCCGAGGGGCACTATCACCCCAAGACCAGGTGTATGGTGCTGTACCTGTGAGATGCCACATCACCACCACAGCCCCCAGCCACCCAGGTAAGGGGGCAGAGGTGAGGGGCACAGTTGGCACCCACTGCTCGTGCAGGCTGCCTTCAGGAGAATGGCTGGTACACCCCTAAGCACAGGGGCTGGTGGTCCCAGGGGTGCATAGGGTGGCCCCAGCGTGGTGGGCACCAGGGGACAGGGTCCGGGATGGCCACACCAGCACCAGCGTGCAGGTGCCTTCGAATGGCTGGCATGGGAACAGTGGGGGGTGAGCACCCTCCTCACAGGGGGACAGGGGTGCTGCCAGCCAAAGCACGGTCCCCCCCAGAGACACAGCCCCAGTGCTTGGTAAAAACAGAAGTAGGTTTTAATGAGCCATTCCAGCAGCCAAGGGGCTGGAAACACCCAGGCACCCATGGGTGGGCCAGGTCACCCTATGGCACCTGCCGGGGCCCCCCAGCAGAGGCTCACTATTGTGGGGCTGAGCCTGGGACCACACAGCACCCAGTCACTGTGGGGCTGAGCCCCCAGCACCCAGCCAGTGCAGGACAGAGCCCCATGGCACCCTGTGCTATAGGGCCAAGCCTGGGGAGCACCCAGCAAGGTCCGGGTGTGAGCCATGGGAGAGCACCTCACAGCACTCAGCTGCCTCTCAGCACCCATCCCACAGGGAGAGTGCCTCGTAGCACCCAGCTGCACGCTGCATCCCTCCTAGGGCAAGCGTGCCCATAGTGTATGGGGATCCAGTGGCCCCCACAGTGCAGAGCACTCCATCAAAACATGGCTGTCCCCTCCTCTTCTTCCTCCTCTTCCTCTTCCTCGTCCTCTTTGTCCTCCTCCTTATTATCCTCATCCTCATCTTCACCATCAGGCAACAGCCCCAGAGGGGCAGGAGGGAAGGGGGGGCCACGCTCCAGGTTAACATAGGTGACAGCCAGGTTGACGTAGAGCTCACCCTCCAGCGCGGCCAGGACACGCTCCAGCTCACCCACCAGCCTGGTGAAGGACGGTCTCTCCTCTGGCGCCGGTGCCCAGCAGCTCAGCATCACCCCATACCTGTCCCAACACCCCCGTCAGCACCAGCAGCCCCCTGGAACCCCCCCACCCCACCTCAGCCCCACTCACAGGGTGTCGGGGCAGTGCTGGGGCTGTGGCAGGCGTCTCCCCCGCTGCAGGTAGCGGGTCATGTCGTAAGGGTCCACCCCAGGGTACGGTGATGCTCCCCGTGTCAGCAGCTCCCACATGAGCACCCCGAAGGACCACTGCCGAGCAGAGAGCTGCCATTGAGGGGGGGAGGCACGGTGGGGATGGGGACAGGGATGGGGGTCGTGCCTACCACATCCGACTTGGTGGTGAACTTTTGGGTCTGGAGGCTCTCCAGTGCCATCCACTTGACGGGCAGCTTGGCGTGGCGGTGCCGCCGGACGCTGTAGTACTCCTTGCCGAACACGTCCCGTGCCAGCCCGAAGTCAGCCACCTTCACTGTCAGTGTCTCGTCCAGCCTATGGGACACCAGTTTTGGGTGGGGAGAGACACCGCCTCATACCCACCCCCGGCTCCATGGGGTGACCCCCATGTCTGGGGCTGGCGGGCATGGCTAAACTCACATGCAGTTCCTGGCTGCCAGGTCCCGATGCACAAACTTCTTCTGGGCCAGGTACTCCATGCCCAGGGCCACCTGCAGCCCAAAGCCGATGAGCTCCTTCACTGTGGGGCTCTGTGGGGTGGGAGCAGTGAGTGGGGACACCTTGATCCCACACCACCACCCCCCCCCCCACCTGCAGGGTACCCCCATACCCGCTCCTGTGCGCGGATGAAGTGGCGCAGGTCCCCATGGCGCATGTAGGGCAGGACGACGAGGGGCAGCCCGTGGCGGGGCAGGCACACCC